GGCACAGCCTCCTGTGTGTTTCAGTGGTGTGTGGTCTGGCTCTGGACTCAAACAACATCAGACCTAATGAGCGACAGGTGAGAGAGAAAACAAAACTAATATTTCAATGACAAAAAACGTTTGTTTACGTTGACGGCTTCTCTGTGGTCTTTAGTCATTTACCTCAGAAAATATTTTTAATTTTAATTTTTTTAGTTTCTCTGATTCAAACTTTATGTGTCTTTAATCCCCCTGCGTTCCACTAGAGGGAGCCTACTGGAAAGGCTTTTTCTGAATTTTCTATTTAATTTTTAATCTAACACTACTCATCAATCTGCGGTCATATATAATACTGTTTTCCAAAGACTGGCTCATGACCCTCAGGTGGATCACAAGAATTTAAAAAAAATTCACACTAATGCTAACAATTCTTTTTTTGCTGTGTGACCAAAACAATTATTCTATTCAATGTGCAATGGCTTAGTGCATTGTTTCCGAAAGACTGGGTCGCGACTCTCAGGTGGGTCGCAATAAAATTTTTTTGGGTCGTTTGCATTATGTTTCCCAGGAGTTTACGAATAATGTTTATTGACTTGGGCCGTTAAGTTTCGTGACTTTTAAAGTATGGGTCGCCCAGAAAAACAATTTGGGAAACACAGCAGTGGCGGAAACGGCAAGAAAATAGATTAACTGCAATGCAAATGGTAACATTTGGCAGTTTTGAAAAAAAAAATACTAAAGAAAAATATGGGCAAGTGTGGAAAACAAACGCGGTCACTTTAAGTAGCGATCACCAACCAGCCCGCGACCCACTGGACCACCAAACTGGTCGGCGACTTGATTCCGAAATGGAGGATTAAAATGAAAATACTGTGTTTTCCCTACTATTAAATACTAAAAATGGCTTCAGTTTTGTAATAAAAAAAATTATATATATATTTAGTTATATATATGTATACCTCAGGTCACTTGTTCCTACCAGTTGGTTGGACTGCTGGGGATTCTAAATGTAGCGGTCCCCTACTTTTACCAGTCGGCCGGTATCAGCCGTTACTGCGGACTGGGACTACCGCGCCATCGTTGAAGGATCATTAAATTTACAAAAAAAATTTTTATTTAAATTTCCACTGCGACCCAGGATCAAGTGACCTATGGATCAGCACTGGTCCCCGTACCGGGGTTTGAGGACCCCTGCTGTAATGAACTCCTTACCAGTAGCATCAGTTTGTCATTGGTTATTGATTACTGACCATGTTTCCCAAAGACTGGGTCGCAAGAGATTTTTTTTTGGGTCGTCTCGCATCATATAATTCTAGGAGTTTACGAATAATTATTGACTTGGGTCGCGAAGGTTTGTGACTTCTAAAATTTGGGTCCCCAGAAAAAAAAAGTTTGGGAAACATTGATGATAGACCATGTGGTCTTACCTAACGGTGACATCACTCTCCTCTGTCCATCAGGATCGCCCCAGTCGCGGTCAGGTGGAATCGTCAGCAGGCGGCCGCAGCCAAGGAACCGATCCTGCATGTTCTACACCTGACTGTCACGTCCCGGTGGTGAGTGACACGTAAAGACACCTGAACAGAACAACTAATGCAGATCGCACCGTATTTTGTACACTGTACATCACATCATCGGATTAGTCACATCAGTCATTAAATGTGGCGAAAAAACTAATATATATATATATATATATATTTAGAGAGAGAGAGAGAGAGAGTGAGAGAGAGAGAGTCAATATTTCGGTCCATTTTTTTATTAATTTCACTGATGGTTTTTTTTTCAATCAGTTAAATTTACAATGAACTTAAAGTAGGCGCGATTAAAAATATATAAATAAATATATATATATTTGTGGCACTTTGACCCAGAGGCAATGTCTCTGTCATTGGTGTGGAACCCCAGGGTTAACCTCCTGGGCAAGTTTGAATCCCGGTTAGGGCGGTTGGTACCTTCCAGTGGACTCACCACCCACAGGAAGGTTT